ATTTCCAACAGAACTTAGAGATCCTGGACAAGAATTTGTTACTTATAATGTTGTATTTAAAGAGGCTTTAGTATAATTGTATTTAGATCATATTATTATATTTATTGTTACACTAATAGAATTATTTATTTATTTATATTAAAAAGTACAGAAATTACATTTGAAACTATTATTAAGAGGGGGTCCAGGGGGCGAGCCCCTGACTTTCGCCGAAGGCGAAAAAGCGAAGCTTGTAGTAATAGTATCTGGCGTGCTGTCGATCATCTGCACACGTGCACGTGCCCTCTTTTTAGAATATTAACGCTCTCATACCGGGCGAATACGGTTTTGCACGCCATAATGAGGCCTCTGCCATCGGAATTTACTGCTCTCTATAGACTATTCTTGCGAGCAACGTCTGCAGCTGTTTTGCACAATGGTCCTGCAACGCGGGGCCTGAGGCGAATGTATCGTCCTACGTCTGAAGCAGCCGCGTCTGTTTTTAGGCGCTTAGAAAGCGTCGCACCCGGATCTAGTGAAGCCGAGAGTGCAGAAAGGTGGATGAGTGCTTTTGATGATCGTGGTATGTTTCATGAAAGACACCCTACTCCTTGGTTATTTTGCTTAGTACCCAATAGTAAACAATACTTTGATGTTGCTGCACATCTCTGCTCATTCTCGTGGACTTCCACACAGCGTCGTCTCTCGTCTCTTTCTGCTATCGCGATCCAACTATTCATGGAACAAGTTTCGCCGGGCTTTGAATACTCGTACCTGGCTACCGAATCTTGATCGTAATTCACCAGAATACACAACTATGCGCCCGTCCGCTTACTCGTCAGTTGCTCGGAAGAACGCGGGAAAGAGAAGAGTTGAAGAAGAAGAGTCGGAGAAGATGTGGGGCGCGCTTGGAGAATGCATCAGTATGGCAGAAGGAAGAGACGGCTTGATTTATGGGAAAGCCCAATTCCAAGCGCAGAAAATTAGAAAAAGGAAATTCTTTTGAGGCATGTGAATGAAATCTTTGAATTCGTTCTATGCTCACTCAAAGAAATTAGTAATTTAAGCACGTGTCACCTCGATATTCGAAGCATCTCATTGGAGCAGCGAGTGGCCCAGTATCGATTAGCCAGTCCATGAGACCTGCTGAATATTTTTGAGACCGACCATGATGTGTATTTAGACAGCTCCTCGCAGCTAAGATCTTAATCGCAGATATCATAGAACCATTATATCCGCGAAAAGGTTCGGGGTTCGCATGTATGTACAACATTTGGATTCATGCCTTGGTCAGGTATATATAGAACTAATTACTTAACCGCCCCCACAGACGCGTAAGTCATTTGCGTGTCAGTACTTACCCCCAGCGTGTCGATCAATAATTATAGCAACCATGCCTTCAAATGAAGTCAGTTACAATACTCACCGTATTACAATGAGGGCCCCACAATTTTCGTTATCTGCTTAAACCAAGGTACTCAGTCTACAAGACGGGGTGCTAATGCGTGTGGATTAAACAATCACATCAATACATTCAAGTGTGGTCAACAAAGTGGCCGAACCAAGACGATAATTTGGCGCGTTCGTCAAGGATGCTGGATATAAAGTATGTTCGGTATTCCTCTATACCTTTTACATATTCGCACAATCTCTTTAAATCCAACAGCAACCGACTAATCCGCTCGTTTGACCTTACAGCACCATGAGCCATTCTCCTGTAACACTCAGTTTCGCAAGTCGCATCGCAAGAGTGCCACGACTTTCGCGTATGCCCTCGCAACGCATTGTGCACGCCGTGCAGACGGACAATAGCAAAGACGTATCCTTCGTGGTATGTATTTTTCTCCATTGTTTAATGACTATCCTGGAAATTCCCTTCATAGACCTTATCGGAGGATGGCTGTATTGACAAGACTCGTGAGACCGTCGACGTCACTCTGAACGACGTGAACAAGGAAGAAGTCACGCTATTCATAATAAACTCGGACAATGGAGCGGATACTGGCTCTCCCGGCTCTTCCATAATTTTGTCGCCAGATGTTGAAGACGGGCTGATCAATTCTTTCACCTGTCGTGTGGACGAGGATAGTGACGTCGGCAGGATCCGTAGAGCCTCGCTTTTCTCAAACGACGAGTTTGAACCGATAAAGATGGAGCTTCCGCAACGCAGCCCTTTGACTATACGTATTCCGGATTATGCCATTGGCGTGACCGGCTATACCAGTCCAAGTCCAGCCTCGGACACTGCGACCCATAGTGGACACTCCAGTCCCAGCCTCAGCCCCAGCTCGGAGCACTCTTCAACTTCGTACCAACAGAGCGTCACCCCAAGCTCATCCTGCTCCACACTCTTTTCGGCCGCTTCGTCATCTTCCTCTTCTTCGGGCACTTTCGTCGACAACTCCGCTTATTCGAAGCCTTATGGCTACCCGTCCTGCGATTCCGTAAAAGACGACTGTGGCCCATTTCCATTCACGCTCGAAGATGGTGACTCGTTGGATAACGTCACAGACATTCGAGGATTTGCAGATCTCAGGTCGCACGGTTATGACTTTGGCTGGTCTAGGTTTGCAAGTCGGCCTGAGACGCGGTATGGACTTAGCGCGAAAGATGCTGCGAAAGTGCAGGCGTACTTGGCTAGAGTGAGTAAGTTTTTTAGATACATATTACTATTCCGTGTCACTGACAATCGGTTGCCTAATATATATAGGGACCAAACGAATTTCCGAGATCTTACGTTGAGAAAGTCAACGCAAGGACGAACGCGTTTGAGAAGAAGCTGTTTAGAAAAGTGTTTAAATTTGTCAAATAATCTGCGAATAGGGCCCGGAAATTGACGTTGAATAATTTTTATCTTCGAAACTCTGCGGACAACTGTAATATGAACGTAACAGTCGGTTGACGTATCTTTCCTCGTCATTTCTGTACCACATTCCTTCTACCTTAGAAAACCCCTCATTCCTTAATTTCCTTAACGTCCTTTGATTTAAATACATGTATACACCACAAGCCATTTGTGTCGTAAAGGAACTCTTATGCTTGGACTTGTGGGTGGAGCATCGCGTTTTTGTAATTTGATTCTGAGAGTCAAAAGGAAAGGAAAAAGGAGCAGACACGTCGCATCACAGGCACGTGCGATGACGTTGCGCATGAAACGTCATCGACGGAACCAGTTCGAATGTTGCCCTATCTCATGCCTTACTCTAATACACATGTCTGTCCATCTCCAAGGTCGTCGACTCGTTTCGCGTGCATTACAGGTGTCAATATAGTGCTGTTACATCATCCAGTAATTCCGAAAGTTGACTAGCTTTCGGTAGCCAAGTCATCTGCACATTCTGCCACTTTATCGAATAGCTCGAGTTACTCGAGTTCACGCAGGTCGATATACTTAGAGTGGCACACCTCGCAATGTTCCTATTGCAAGGAGGCAGCATATTCCCTCTACACTTTTGTCCGTTCTGCTCTTTATCGATTATAGTTGTGGTCAGACACCTTGTCGGAGGCATAATTGGTCCCATTAGCCATATCGCTACAATACAGTCTCGTAATGGTAAGGCTTTCTAAACTCTTGCATGTTATTGGTACTGAATCACTGGCTCATCAAAATATCACTGTGCTTTTCTCTCAGATCTTGCAATTGGTCATGAGCGCTAGACAAGCAGTGTGCACGGTAATTCCCGAGAGAAGATGATCGCATGCAGGTCTAAATTGCTGTGCATACGTTAAAAGCTCCCTGATTTCCCACCATCATATCGACTAACGTTCACCACAGACAAGCCTGTTCCCAGTCTGACCTAGAGTACGAGTGGAAACTCCCTAGTTTCCCACAGTGAGGATTACCACAGAGGTTTCCCACAAGGTAAACCTCACTACCACAAGGGTTGCCAGAAATTGGCCTGTGGAAAACTCAAATGTATTAGTCATACATAATATTATGTCAGTAGATAAATTAAGAAAAAATGCCTCAACCTGACAAAAAGCAAGGAAAATAGATAGTTTGAGAGTGTATATACTCTATGTCTGTCATTATATTAGGTTAACATCTTCTATTTTACTTGACATTCTTTCAGATACTCCTTTATTTGAAGGAATACACTCTGATAAAACTGGAGAGGTACAAGTGATAGATGTGGACAATATTTCTAGTACCTCTTCAGACAATTTACAAATTTTGAACAACAATAATGTTACAGTTCTCTACTTTTGCACCTTCAGTTCTACAGGTTCCACACCATTCTGTACCAGAACTTAAGACTTCCATCCCTCAGAAGTACTGTCTATAGACTATATGTAGGCTGACTCTCTCTATGACTCTTACTACTACCCCTCCTTACTTCATCATTCTATTCCTTTGTCCACCCCTTTATTCTTTGTTCATTCTATAGTCTTTTACCCTTTGTTCATCCCTTCATTCTTTGTACCTTTATCTTTGACCTTCCTTTCTTTCATTCTTTGTGGCTCATCATTCTTTGTAGCTCACCATTCCCTGAGTGCTCTTGTATAGTTTAGTATATATAGGTGTACAAGATCAGACTGGTTCTGTAGTCTTGATCTTGTCTACTCTAGGTAGTCCTATACTCTTAGACTTACTCTATATACTCTACTCTTGTCTCACTCTCTCTGTTAGTAACAGTGTAGAGGGGACCTAAAGGCTTAGTAAGGGGACCCAGGCTACAACTATCCTACACAACAGAAATACAGAATGTAAGCACCAGAATGTAGTCAGAACTTACAGAACAGACAGAGAGAGGGAGAGTAAGACAAGAGTAGAGTATATAGAGTAAGCCTAAGAGTATAGGACTACCTAGAGTAGACAAGATCAAGACTACAGAACTAGTCTGATCTCATACACTTATATATACTAAACTATACAAGAGTACTCAGAGAGTATGAGCTACTAAGAATAATAAGCTACAAAGAATGAAAGAAAGGAAGGTTAAAGATAAAGGTACAAAGAATGAAGGGATGGACAAAGGGTAAGAGACTATAGAATGAACAAAGAATGAAGGGGTGGTCAAAGGAATAGAATGATAAAGTAAGGAAGGGTAGTAGTAAGAGTCAGCTTGTATATAGTCTATAGACAGTACCTTTAAGGGACAGAAGTCCCAAGTTCTAGTACAGAAGAGTGTAGAACCCTCAGAACTGAAGGTACAAGAGTGGAGAACTGTAACATTACCCCCTCTCTAAAACCAATTGTTCTAATTGGTAAACATTAGGCTCAGTTAGTAGCTTAAACATAGGTTAGAATGGTAGGATTTAGAAATCTGTAAGGCAGAGTTGACACAGAGTACCCAGATGAAGTTGATAGAAGTCTTGAATCACCTTAACAGTATGAGTAAGGTTCTCAGCAGGTTCTCAAGTGTGTTCCTCAACTAAGTATCCCTTCTAGTAGATAAGGAACTTAAGCTTTCTGTACACCAGCTTAGTATCTACTATGTACTCTACTTTGTATTCTGGTTCAGAACTAATGAGTTCTAGTAGAGGCAGTAAGGGTCTTTGTTACAAAGGAAAACTGGGATTATAGTACTGAGACAACAGAACCTTATTAAACACTAAGTGTATACACTTCTATGTTACTAGAAGTTAGAGTTTGTAGACAGAGGTACTAACCTTCTTTTCAATAATGAAGGGTCTGAAGCACTTGTTGTCCAACTTCTTTATTAGGCAATCTATAGTCAGGTTAGTAGCTTCTAGTATAACTTTGTTACTAGACTAGTAATCCTTAGCTACAGACCTCTTCCAATTATAGTTCTACTTTATAACCTGTACTACCTTTTCTAAAAGAGCTTGTGTGTCCTCTCTGGTCCTGTGTATCTGTTCTACAAAGTCTGTTACAGATTCAGAACTACTGTTCTAGTTCAGAACTGTCCTCTAGTATGAATGTCTCTTATAATTGAGGAAGAACAGGGACTGTCCTGTTGTAGAGTGTTACTAGTTATTGTACACAAATTCTGCTAGAGCTAACTATTCAGACTAATCCAATTACTAATAATTGATAAACATCCAGAGGTAGAGCTTGATCTCCTGATTGACTTACTTAGTTTAACTGTCAGTCTGTAAGTAATAAGTAGTAGAAGGGTTCCCTTGAATTCTGAGAAGTATATACAAGTTCTGTATGAATTTTAACTCAAATTACAGTCTACAATTGTGAATGAGCTTCTGAGAGAGTTTGTACAACTAGAAGATATGATCCTAATAAATGTGTACTATACCTTTAGAAGTAAGTTCTGTTTAGGTTGGAACCATATAGACTTGCTTAGAGAATCAGTTGACAATCACACAGATAGTATTATAACCCTAAAACTTGGGTAGCTTACTAATCAGGTCCACCAAGACTTCTTTCTAAGAGTGATCCAGAATCCAATACAAATGTAAGAGAGCCTGAACCCTTATCTAGTAGGTCTTAGTCTGTTAGCATATATTGTAACTAGTCACATACTTTAGTATTTCCCTCTACATTCCTAGCTACTAGTAGTTCTGAGTAATGAGTTCCTGTGTTTTGTGTCAGCCTGGATGTCCTGTAGTCAGATTGTTGTAATAAGCTTAGACAATGTCCTTTTACAGCTTCTAATCCTTCAGAACATACAGTTAGCCTTCCTAGTAAACCTGTCCATCCTCATCCTCCTCCTAATTCCTAGCCTGCTTCTCTAGCTACTTTACTATGACTCAGTCCTGTGTGTGTCTCAGAGCTTACTATATACAGGTAACAAAGTCAACATCCTTAGATTTGAGTCAGATCTCTTAGATTGTCTCAGACACAAAACAGAAATTGTCTAGGAGAACAAGGTTTTTGTTATTATTCTCCCCCCTTTCATAATCTACTTGTCTCAAGAGTAAATCAGCTTTCATCATTTGTGTTCTAGGTTTGTGAGTCAGTACAAAGTCATAGTTCTACAGTTCTAACATCCAGTAGGCTTAGTAGTAGTTAAGCTTCTGAGGTGCCTAGAAGTACTAGAGATTAAGGTGATCACTCTAAATCTTAAACTTCTATATAGTACTAAGGAGATATTAACACTACTCCTCTAGGGAACAGACAATTGTAAGAAGTTCCTTGTCATAGATAGAGTAGTTCCATTCTGTTATAGAGAGGGATTCCAATTAGAATACTATCAGACACTACTTTCTGTTAATGAACTAGGACAGTACTACTCTATTCACAAAGTCAGAAGAGTTAGCTTTGACTCAGAACTTGTCCACAACTGTTAGAACTACTAATACAGACTTACTAGTAATAGTCTGCTTAAGGGACTCAAACACAGACTACTGCTAATCATTCTATTACTAAGAAACATCTTTGCTAGTAAGATTGTAAAGAGGCTAGACAATAGTACTAAAGCCTTAAATAAAGTATTAGTAGTAGTTCACAAACCTAAGGAACACTTGGACCTGTTTTAGGTTCTAAGGTTGTGACCAGTTCCAAACTGTAGTTACCTTTACTGGATCCATACAGACCTCTCCTCTACCAATTACAAAGCTCAGATAATCTACTGACTCCTGTGAAAAAGAGTACTTTACTTCTTAAAGGAACAGTTTATTATCTTAGAGCTACTGTAGAACTGCTCAGATCAGTTAGTAATAGTGCTTGACTGTCTGGGTGAAGATTAGAATGTTGTCCAGATACACACTAACATACTCTAAGTTAATCAGATTTATAAGGATGTGATTCATGAATGACTAGAATATTGTAAGTGAGTTAGTTAGTCTAAAGAACATTATAGTTAGTTTGTACAATCTACAATTGGTTTGGAACACAGTCTTCTACTCATCTCTGTCTTGGATCCAAATATTATTGTATCCCTATCAAATGTTCAACTTAGTGAAAACCCTAGATGTATACATCTTATTAATGAGCTCCTGAATCAGAGGGAGTGAATACTTGTTTTTAATAGTACCCTTATTAAGACAACAATAATCCTGGACTGGGCAGAGCTTCCTATCTTTCTTTTTGATAAAGAAGAAAGGGGAGACTATAAGGGACTTTAAGGGTTGGATCCAGCTGTTCCAAAGATTTTCCTAAAGGAACTCATCAAGTGCCTCCTACTTGTCTTTATTGAGTAGGTAGACCTTACAATCCTTAGGTTGAAAACTCTTGGTCAATTCAATTGTATAGTCCTAGAGACAGTGTTTAGAAAGCTAGTCAAATTCCTCTTTACTAAAAACTTTAGGGAACTCTTGGACAAAATTTAGTAGGTTGGGTCTATGTGTGTTTCAGAGTAGAGTCATTCTAAGAGGGTTCTAGACTGGTTCCATCTCAGACATTCTTCAGATCAACTCTGTTTTGCCTTGACTAGAATATGTGTCCACATATCTATCCTAGTTGAAGAAGAACAACTGGTCACCTTTATCAGAACTGTTAGTAACATTAGAAATGTCTGTATTCACTTAGAACAGTAGTATAAGGTAGTTGTAAGTCTTAGAACACTGATTGAACACAAGTGTCTACTCTAACTAGTTAATAGTAGGGTTGTAAGCCTTGAGCCATTCAAATCTAATAAAGATGTCTGTCTTTCTAAGGTTAGTGACTCTAAACTCAATACTTTCCTTATGATTCTGAATAGTCATCTATAGTTGGACAAACTCAGTAATCTAACCATTCTGGTTCAGGGTTCTGTCTGTATTGTATACTAGGATCAGAAGTAGAATGTGTTGAGTAGGGAGGTAGTGTTTCTACACAAAGGCCTTATTAATGTATAAACCAGTACATTTACTGTCTACTAGAGTTATTGTTCAGATCTGGGGGGATCCTGAAAAGGGAGTCAAGAGGACAGGGACCTGGAGCTAGTGTCTAGAACATTCTCAGATAAACTGCTACTTGTTCTAAAGGGAATGTACAGCTTGTACAGTCTTATTGTCTAAGAGGGTAAGTATATACACTAACATTTCCTTATTAACCTCTCTCTTTCAACAAGGACAGACCTATGTTCTCAGCTGTAAACTCAGTCAAGACTATCCCTACTTAATACTACAGACAAACTACTAAGTAGTAAACAGGGCTAGGTAGTGTTTTGAATATTCTAAGATCTTAGAACACAGAAGTAGTAGGTTAGATTGTACAGATTTAGACTCAGATGAAGTGTGAAGAGAAGAATCAGAAGAATCAGAAGAAATAAGAGAACTATCTACTTTTGTTTTTAGCTTTTTTCTTTCTAATAAATAATTTTGTTAATTTATTTTTTCTACTTTTTCTGCTTTTCTTACTTTATTTACTTCTAAACCTATAGTGTCTATTGAATCAAAAGTGGCCATTAAAAAATCCAAGTTATAGCCCTTCAGTACTGTATTTACTGTTAGGCCTCTACAAAATCCTAGAGTACATAGTTAGGGTCTAAGAGTTTTAAGGTGACTTTCAGATTTGTAGAAAAGGCTTCTTACTACAAATCCTGCTTGTTACTTGTTATTACTCTAATGACCTGACAGATATACTGTTACTTCTACAGACAGTCCTTAATTTGGTGCCCTGACTTTCTGTAGGCAAAGTATACTCCTTACTTTCAGGCTTCTCTAATGTCTATCAGAACAGATTGATTACAAATTACAGGTAGATCAATCTGAGAACTCAGAACTGTCAGAGTCAGACACATATGTAAGTATTCTGTACAAACTTGACACATTTAAGCTACAGCTTAGTTAAAGGAAATAGTACACATCTTCTACTCAGTGTAAGTAACCAGTTCCAGCATTATTCTAAGAATCTTATTAACTAGTTCTAAGTAAAGAGCTTTTTCAAGCATTCTAATAAGGACATTATCAAACCTGAGTGTGAATCCTACCTTCTAGGCTAGGATATCAAACTCCTGAAAGAAGGTGTTGGCAGAATGTTTGCCCTGTTACAGAAACACAAGCTTGTTCTATACATTGTACTTCTCATTTGGATTGATAAAGGAAGTACAGAGCTGCCTTATGAATTCCAAATACAACTCATTGTTCTAAAGTTGGATTAGACTTCTAATCTAATAGCCTTCAATCCAGTTCTAGGCCTAGGTGACTGTATTACCTTCTTTCATAAAGGAGAGGACAAATAGAACACAATTAAGATCTGAGGATAGATTGGTTAAAGTAGTAGCCATGTATAGTTTGACTTGGTACTAGAAGTCCTTAAAGTGCTGCCTGTTAAAGTCTGAAGGGCAGGCTATATGTACTTTCTTTCTAAAACAGGTTGTAACTTCTAGAATGATTAGAACAGGTTCTAAAGAGGCTGAAGGTATGTAGTTAGTAAAGGCCTCTTAAATAGAGGTCTACACATATTAAGCTAGGTCTGCTTGTAACTGCTAATCCAGCAGGACAGTAGGGGTGGCAGTCAGTACAGGAGGGTCCATGTTTATACTATAAAGGAATCAGTACTAAACTAAAAGGGGTAATGAATAGAAGAAGGGTGGCAAAAGTTTAAAAGGGTTTAGAAAGTTTAAAATTTAAAAATGTAAAAGGGTTGGGACAAAGAAAAGAGATCAACACAACAGTAAGTACTGATGCTCAAAATGTAGGAGAGTTGTAGGGTAGTAATAAGTAGTCTTAATCTAATGTCAGCAACAGTATAGAGGGGACCTGAAGGCTTAGTAAGGGGACCCAGACTACAACTATCCTACACAACAGAAATATGGAATGCAAGTACCAGAATGTAGTCAGAACTTACAGAACAGACAGAGAGAGGGAGAGTGAGACAAGAGTAGAGTATATAGAGTGAGCCTAAGAGTACAGGACTACCTAGAGTAGACAAGATCAAGACTACAGGACCAGTCTGATCTTGTATACCTATATATACTAAACTACACAAGAGTACTCAGAGAGTATGAGCCACCAAGAATGATAAGCCATAAAGAATGAAAGAAAGGAAGGTCAAAGATAAAGGTACAAAGAATGAAGGGATGGACAAAGGGTAAGAGACTATAGAATGAACAAAGAATAAAGGGGTGGTCAAAGGAATGGAATGATGAAGTAAGGAAGGGTAGTAGTAAGAGTCAGCTTGTATATAGTCTATAGACAGTACCTCTGAGGGACAGAAGTCCTGAGTTCCAGTATGGAAGGGTGTGGAACCCTCAGAACTGAAGGTACAAGAGTAGAGAACTGTAACACTCTCTTTCTGTCTGTTCTGCAAGTTCCAACTATGTTCCAGTGCTTGTGTTCTGTATTTCTGTTGTGTAGGATAGTTGTAGCCTGGGTCCCCTTGCTCAGTCTTCAGGTCCCCTCTATACTGTTACTGACAAATAAAGCCTGGTCAATATAACCAGTTGCCTCTTTCTTTTTATTTCTCTTAGATATATCTATTTATTATGTAGGCTTCAACACTAGTAGACTATAAAACACAATAGAATTGCTCTCAACAGTATAACCAATGTCTGAAATTAATATTATACCTAAATTTTCAGCCCAATAGAGGTAAACAGTACAAAATTCTTAAAAATTTCCTTTTTAGAACATTATAATTATATTACTAATATACTGACTAAGTGTTGTCCACGCGAGGTTTACCACGCCTCCAGAGGCCCCTGTGGAAAACTAGTTTCCCACAGGCTCTCGGGAGTTTCCACTCGTACTCTAGTCTGACCATCGGCTTCTGATTACTCGTTGGCATTGTTTTCGACTTGTCTCGTCAAGGAAAATCGTATCGGATGGAATGCCATGAACGACGCTAGACTAGTTTGGTCATCTCTCTCTGAGATCAGTCATCTCAATATCTCCGAGAATCTATGCTATGATAAGACATCACATCCATTCGCTGGCGGTAGCTACGGTGACATTCGCCTTGGTGTATATACGAATTTAGAATATGCCCAGGTCAAGGTTGCTGTGAAATGTCTTCGCATTTTCCGCAGCCAGTACCCCAACTTCATGAAGGTACGAACCGACGTAAAGTTATGTCTGAAGTGTCTTCGTTGAAATTACACGTTTATAGGTAATTGAAAGAGAGATCCGTATCTGGTCAAGTCTTCATCACCCCAACGTCCTCCCATTTCTTGGCTTTTGTTTAGAAGAGGGTAGCTTTCCCGCCCTCGTATCCGAGTTTATGGAAAATGGAACCGTATTGAACTATTCGATACACCATCCTGAAGTCGACGTTACTGGGCTGGTGGGTTGATGCTGCAGTCATTCCCTGGTTTTTTTGTCTCTAATAACCGTATGTCAGATGCTCGGCATTGCTGAAGGTGTCGCATATCTGCACAGTAAAGGTGTCATACATTCAGATCTAAAATCAGTTCGTATCGCATATCGTATGCCATGTCACCATTGACTAATCGTAGACATATCAAGGGAAATGTTCTGGTTTCAGCAACAGGGGTGCCTCTCATAAGTGATTTCGGCATATCACGGGTAATCTCCATCTCTGAATCACTAAGCGGGCAAGGTGCATGCGCTCAGCCCAGCTCTGGGGACGTGAAGGGTTCATCTCGATGGATGTCCCCTGAACTTCTGCTTCCTACACGTGATCAAACTACGAAGCATACGAAGGAGTCTGATGTATGGGCGTTCGGGATGACAGCATATGTACGCTGCTCGTGTTCGGTCTGCTTTTGGTATGCGAAGAGCTTAAGCAATGTTCCATGCTACCTTTTCCTAGGAATTACTGGCAAAGAAAAGACCGTACCATTCGCTTCAACTGGATGCGCAGGTAATATTGGCTATCGTGCATGGACAACGACCCGAGCAGCCCCAAAATCTTGTGGAGTGTCCAATGCATTACCAAAAAGCGTGGCAAATTTGCGAGGAATGTTGGTCTAGGGACCCAAATGTTCGCCCGAAGATGGCTACGGTTCTTATGGCCCTCAGGTTCAACGCCATTCAAGCCGGAGTGGTGAATGGCCATGTGGTCAACGCAGTCAAAAGAGCCAATTCGCCCTTACGATGCCTCGAAGAATCCAATGCCAGCACAAAGCATTCTGAGACTCCAAGGCGGAAAGCCGCGAAGTCAAAGAACGTAAGGCCGTGCGCTCCTTGTCAACAAAGTCACAAAGCGGTATGTTCCAATATCTGCAACTGTCCTGTAGAGTTTATTTAGACGTTTTCTTAGTGTCGTGGAGGTATGCCTTGCGAAAGATGCGTGGCGCGGCATGATCCAGAAAACTGTATTCCGAGAAGGCGAAGGATGCGTTCCAGTAATCAGCGTGAGGTATGTATTGTGGCCAGTGACCTTTTCTATCTACAACTCATTTTATAAAATTTAATAGGTAATACCACTTTCCGAGACCCAGGAAAGGTTTGAATTCCATTCTTAAATGTCGGTTAGAGGGACTGCTAATATGATCCGTAGTTCTCGGCACAGGACGCGTTCATCCGATCAAACTGGATTGACGTCTATCTCAAGAGCCTATATGTTCCATACATCGGTTGGTACATACCGAGATGCATGAGTCTATGTCTCACAATCCTGCAGGACGCGGTTTCTCCTACGTCCGTGACATCGATAAAGAAACCCGAAAACTTCTCCATAAGTACGGAGGCTAAAGTACTTGGAAATGTGTATGTCTGTTGGAACCCACCTAAGATGAGTTGCATTACAGAATGGACATGAACCCGAGGACGGACAACTGCGTCTGATTCCAATGAACGTATCGCAGGATGCTTGCCTGGTATGTAAAGCTGGCATTATAACAGTGCTACGTTTTTCTTAATGCTTTTAATTTAGCAGCAGCCCCATTTCGACGACACAGGCCAAAATACACGACCGTATTTTAGGATAGCCTTATAAATGCATCACATATTTTCTATGCACCGTTAGGTGTCGAGGAAGTGCTTATTGCGCTGTGGAAGTGTAAACGCGTGTAATATATACCAGTTTGTAGGATTGGTCGTTTTTCACTGGATGTATTTTTTAGTGGCGTGGAACCGTGTACGAATAGTATTTGTAGATGTACAGGTATTTGAAGCCGAACCACAGGAGCAGCATATACACATTGTTTTCATGTATATTCTTCAACTTTATAAAACGAGCATCGTAGGCTTAAAACAGCAAAAGACTGTTAAATGAATTCGGGTTCAACAAACATGGCAAGAGCCAAACTAGGGCGTCCCGACCCGAATTGCATAATAAGCAGATATAGTCAATATTGTACCGTTGGTACTAAAATTGCAGGTATTAAGAAATGCAAGTTGGGGCGCAAGGTGGTACGCATCGTTCGAAATCTAATACTTTGACAGCCTTTGACACCCATGTAGTTAGAGAAGCAATAAGATTGTATGCTCCTCACAGCCCTATTCAAGTTGTTATTCGAATCTTCATATTCTGTCCACTCTGACTTACAGACTACAGACAAATTTGCATTTCTTGTGCTGCAGTAGTCAACGATCATTCTCATCTCATCTCACCTATTAATTGGCATTACGGTGACCCTCCTCAGCTGCAGAAACGTTGTAAGGAAGGTACCGGCAATATCGAGTGGTTTTGTCACTAACTCCAGTCAGCAAGAGTCGGATTTCATCCCCAAATTCCCCCTCATCATGCACCCGGACGCAGAAACAAGTCTATATATAATACACGAGAGTGCCCTTAATGTGGTACAAATTTGCGATCAGGTAGGTACATGCAGAACTCGGGGTGTAGCTCGAAACCCGTGGTCAAAACACAAAATCAAGTTCTATATCAGACCATTTACATCCCTTAGCAAGAAGCTCCCTCGCACGAGCAATCTGAATGACTAGCTCCATGCCAATTGTATATCCATCTGCCAACGAGAGTGGTTCCTCCGCAAGGCAAAGAATCCGGAATCCGGAAGAGATACACTCGGGAACGTCATGCTTCTTTCCAAGACTGATCAGCTCGACAGCACCACAGTCTTCGAAGATATTCTCTAGCGCGGCTTTCCGGACGGATGGAAATTCGAGGACTGTGGCAACTCTCGCTATACGGAGCCATTGTGCCACAGTGAAGCTGTGCTGGGACCAATAGTCCCTTGGTCACCATAGTTAATACATGATCTTGTAGATATCCAATTAGGTAATCTCTTACGATGGATAAATTAACTGCAGCAGAAGCTCGAAGTCCAATTTTGTAACACCCAGAGCAAGAGGCTGCTGCAATGTTCCAGCAGGCGATGTGCCGGATATAGTATTGAAAGTGCAGAATTGTCCAGGTAGGCTCTCCCGAAAGAAATTTGACTGGCGCTTCAGGATCGATCTGTGTACGTTATACAAGGTATTCTCGACCTTTTGAATGAAGAAAAACCAAAGATCAATGTATCGTTTACATCACTGGCTGTGCATGTGATCTCTTACCTCGATGACGGCGCTGCCATCTTCAAACCAGAATTCTGCACTGCGTGATGGCTGTGCATAACGGAAGCGGAATGTGTCGTCGGCATCATCCTCTTTGGACATCGTAGCCGCCGACATAAAGAGGTTCTCCTGCATTTCCATACTGTCCGGCGAAACGGATCGCGATGGCAGCGATATAACGGCTGCGCTGTCCGAAGGAGAGAATGAACCGCTCGGGATGTCAGATGTGCCAGATGAACCAGCGGTCATGGTGGAAAGAGGCAGAGGCGATGCTCAAAGGCAGCTTAGGTAGTTATTATTATAAGAGCTATTTCATCATCCGCCATGATACGTCAGGGGCACGAGTAGACGGACAGGATAAGGATCATCATCGCCTTGTTCATGTGGTACGACGGTAGATGAATGCGACTTCTTGAACCTAGTATCACGGCGCTTAAAAGAATCAGAATCGAATCAAAATAGGAGTCATCCACATCTATATCCACGGCACTTCCAAGATAAAGCCTGTTTGAAGCAGTAGAAGGTACGATTCCACTAGCATGGAATGATATACTGCGCGCGAGCCGAATGGTCTGAAAAGTGAAGGAAACAAAGAAAGTGCCACCGCAGATAGACATTTTGTGGCGATTACATAATACTAGAACCTTCAAGCTTAGCGGTTACTGAACTTTAAAGGACCTTGATTTCGTCATCACATAGACAATACAGGGGGAGGAATGCAAATACACTATCAGAAATCAGACCCAGCTAACGACGTCTAAAAAAGAACAGCAAAAATCCGAAAGCACGAAGTATCTAAAACAATACATTAAAAAACAAACCACGAGAGAAAAGAAAGAGAAAAGAAAATTAAGGCATGCATGCTGATCAACATTCAATTTCTCCAGAAGATATCAACTTAACAAAAAAGAAAGAAAGAAAAAGAAAACGCCTTGAGGAATCGAGCGAGCCAACTTTAACAAGCTCTGAAACAAGCATGCGCTTAGCTAACTTGATAAATTCGAGTTCGCCTATGAAATTCCTAATTTGGGCGAGTGTTGAAAACAACTACACCAAGCGCAGGATGGAAGAAGTTATACAAGGCCGAGGAAAACTGCAAATGCGATCACCAAAGATGTTGTGGAGGTGCATCTGCGACGAGTCCATTCGCGTCAGTACACTTGGTGTACCAGGACTTTGGTGTTGGACTGCGATTCATCGTCTTTCGCCTTTGCATCTGCCAATGCGGGGTCTCTATTACAAAACGTGGCTTCGCTCTCGGCTGAGAACTGGGAATCAAAGGAGGAATCGCCTATTTCATATGCGGTATTGGGCTCGTTGAATGGCTGGACAGGCAAATCCTTTGGTTTCGAGGCAGTTGCTTTGGATGATGGTTCTGATTGCCAACGTCCAATCTTCTTGAGATGTTGTATGAGATCATCGACAGTTTTGATACTTATGGGTTCAGATGCCGATCTCTTGTGTTCTTTGGCGGCTTTTGCCGGAGGAGAGGGTGAATTCGTCATTGATGCCTTGTCAATTCGATGCAGTGTCAGAGTCTGCTTCAGTTACTTAATTGCAAGTGTCAGAGCTCACCTCGCCGCTACCGGCTTTATTTGTATCCAGCCCAAAACCACATTCGCCTGGTCGCCTCGATTCCTTCTTGGCATCGCCATCAATAATAAGGACGGGCATTGGGCAAGTAAAGCGCCGACTCTTGTCCTGCGTCTTCACCGTGCGTTTCTTTAGCTCATGCGCTCGAGCCGCAACAGAGATACGAAGCCATCCACGGACACCTTCCGACTCCAAATCACCCGTCGCCGACAAGCTGTGTGATTCTAATGCCGCCTGTTTCTCGCCAAAGTTTGAGCATCGAACTGGAGATGGAGGCTGGAAGCTGGAAAATCCGAGTTCTTCTGCAAGTTCAGCGGGCATGGTGCTGTCGTAGGTCCACGCCTGTATGGGGAGGCAAGTCAGCGACCATTGAAAACTTCAGTCACTAGGAATGACATACCTTCTTCAAACCCATCCTGAAAAATTTAGTTGACAGTAGCAGACGCAAATGAGAAGATTACCTTCCTTCCGCTTGGTGCTATTGGCTTGAGGTCAAGGGAAGTTGAGCGTATGACTACGGCTGCGGCAATTTATTGCTCCCATTATAGGCCACAGCAAGGAGTTTGCGTGGCTGTAGATATGAACCCAACACGTGTGAAGACCAATCGTTTCCACACGAGGAAAGTCCTTTAGATCTGGATGGACGAAAGCTTAAGATATAAGCTGAATGAATGCTAACAGCTTCCTTTGCAGCGTGGACAAGAAACTCGCGTCGCTGCAGATTTGAGGCCAACGCATGACAACATCCTCACGAGAAAATATGCTTAGTTCTATAGGCGCAAGACACAAGCGTGTTCAAGACATTGAAGACACTTCCTAATTGCTGTCACAGTTGGGCATTAGGATAAAATCCACATCCAATAATCCACGACTGTGTTCTTGGAAACGACACCACGTGACTTGGCATTGTGCAGTCTCTCCTCACCTGTAACCAACGATGTCAGGAGGAGGAAAAATACAACTTCATAACGTGCTGTAATGTCATATCTGTTGCTCCATGATTTAACAGGATCAACTCTGTTTGTTCTTCATTTTCGGTGAACCTCATCTGTGCATAACCTTCCCAGACAATTTGTGTGAGTGTGTCAGGTATAGAAAGCGGCTGACAGTTTGAACTTTGAAGCCGTGGGCGCTTCAAAGTGGTGTGAAAACTGTGATCGGTCATGTGCTCAAAGAGTGCCCATACCAGTTTTGTATCACAATTGATGATGAACAACCTCTACGTTCTATTATAAAAGGCTTGCCTCTGGAGTTCTCTAGTATTCATTACAACTTGATGGATGATGGCCCCCCCAGTTTCTCTTACATCCTACCCTACAAGAAGACAGCGGTCGTTCAGCTCCAACTCCTTTACGGTACCAAGTTTACACAGCAAACCCAGTGCTAGTGAGATGCTGGAGAACTCAGTGTTCTGTGAAGACAATGAAGAACCAAGGCTGCAACATGATAAATTCAAGTTTGGTTAGTCAAATATTCTCTTGTACTGATAAAAAATATGTTAAGTGTTGAATTAGGCTACCTTGCAAAAATGCTGGATGATCTACAAGCAACTGGTTTCACACTGGATGATATACCCTTCAGGATTAAAAATATATATCACAGTTATTCACTAGCTGCTGCACAAAAGCAAAGTCTTGAATGTAGTAAGCAAACTACATTTTGTACAACCATCTTTTCCTCAATCTATTTTTCACAGTGAGCCACTTCTCGGCCACTACAAGTCACAATAAATCTCCGATGTATAGGCAAAGCCAACTTCAAAGGGATTGTAAGGACTGCAAGACAGAAATACCTCTAATTCCAGTACAGACTGAAAAAGTTCTGGACAAGGAATGTATTAAATTTAATGCTTACTCTCTGTCTTGTAAGCTCTGTACTTATATTTAAGGATGTATTGAAACCTTGCTAATAATTATATGGTAGCCCATTTTATACAACTTGATGCAGCCTTTCAATTGAACAATTATGGGTTTTATATAGTGAGCTAAATGTTCACTACAGAAATCTTAGTACTGTTGCTTATCAACACATTCCCAAGACGATGACATTTGGAGCTACATCAGCAGCAGGTCTGTTTCAATGGGAGCAATCTGCAGAGACTGTCTCTTTTGCGCCCATTGTCCCAGTTACACTTTTCTGGACAACCGTTCTGTGCACCTTTGCATTTCCTCTCTCACTGCTTGTCCAAGAGGAAATTAAGGAGTTGCGCAACACATTAGAGCAATGTGTCCGAAATGCAGATCAGAACGAATGCACAGCTACGGGGCAGAAGGACAATGCTCCAGTCGATGCTTCTACGGAAACAATCGGAAAGCATGCTAGACCTGGAGGTGGAGAGCCCAATGTAGATTTAGAGAGTGACAAAGTTAATACACCAAGATGTAAATGCGTTATGTGCATGCCAAAGGCAATGCAGTACTTCGTACGTTCGTTTGTACCTCGTGTGTTGACTAACTAATAATTGCTAACAACCAAAGACGTTTTGCGTTCTCTTTCTTCCCCCGGTCTTTTCGGTCATTGCAATCATTCTGTGCATGGTCACTCTGATTTCCCTCATGAAAGCAACTGAGTCCGTCACGACATTCCACATAGCAGTTACAGTCTGCATTCCGATCATAGCGCCACTTCTCATCGCTCTTGTATGGCTTCTTTACCGCAGGTCGGGATTGACTCGCTTGTTAGAGCTAAAGAAAATGCAGGATGCACGGAATTAAATGTTGGTTAATATTTCTCATTAGTTGGCAGAGAGCGGATATAACGATAGATAGGTTAGAAGATACTGCAGACAGAAGTGCATACACTTTGTGGATTTGTTCTGCATGATTAAATTTGGTTGTATTTTCTATAGATTGAATAGACAATTGCTAGCCTGACCGTTGATATTTTGCCAGTGATCTTGCGATATTTAATCATGCAGCTATATAAATTACCATCCCACCATATGGATGCAGATGCTGTACATGAGCATAAGTAACACATAGTCGGTTGATATTTTTGCTTTTATTTTAACTCATGTATCTGAATGTAGAGCACAGTCCTTTATTACTTTAATCGTGATCCAAATCAACATATAGTCAGTTAAACAAATAAATAATGGACTCGGAATGACTGTAAAATACTATCCCAACATGATTCAGCAAGCACTGTCTCTAACAACAGTTACAGAGACATACAGTGTACAAGGTTACAAATGATCGGATACTCGGAACACTGCTCTCGTGATCCTTTGCCGTTTGCGCCGGAGATCATGTCCCAATTTCTTGTGCGAAGCAAGACGCATCAACGAATTAAAAAGAACTGTCTTTTTATAACCCGCCGATTTCCATGCATACCAGAGTTACTATCCATGCGTACATTTGAGACAGGCTCATGTACATAATTCCATCCTATGCAGCAAAGTATAGATCAAAATCACCCCTTTCTCTTTTACACTCGGACGGATGCAATGTGCTCGCCTTTTACTTATTCGGTGCCCGACGTGTGGCTATGACGCCGACTACTTACTGCTCACCGACGGCGGAACGACAAGTAATAATCGGCCGCCGTATTCGCCAAATATCGCGGGCCGGAGTCAACTCACCTCCCATCATAAGCTTAGCATCCACCCAGAGCCCGATTAACGGCGTGCCAGGCGTCTCGCGAAAAGGAACATTGTTGTCCGTCCCATCTGAAGCGCTGCACAGGGCAACAATTCGCAAACGTATAAAACATGACCAGCTGGGCCGGAGGAGACCCAGTAACATCCCAGCTACCAGCCAATACGGGATTTCTACGAAGCTTCGCGGTTCAAAACTTTACCTCTCGTCCCCTGGCAGAAAATATGTCGAGCTACAAGAATCAGTTCATAGTCGCGACGCAGAGCGATCTAACAGTCACGGACGGCAAGGTGTCTCGTACTGTGGCTTGCGATTCGTGCCGTAAGGCGCGTCGCAAGGTCTGAATCTGCATAACAATCCGATTTATTCTTGGCTGATGACCATTTATATCAGTGTGTACGAATTCAGACGAGCCCTCCGACGCCGTGCGAGTGGTGTGTTCTTCACGGTCTGAACTGCACAACGGTGAGTATGAGAGCCTCTCCGCCTTGGAACGAAAAGACTTACCTTCTGATATGAATCATTACTGTAGTCTGCAAAAAACTAGACAAAGTGGTGGTGAAGGGTTAGGTCGTTCTCTCAGCGTAGAGATTCAAGGAGACACTCACCTCGGCCAAGCCATGTAGATATTTTAATACATGTATCGTGTCCAGTTTAGTACCAGCTCATTGGTGTTTGCTTCTGCTTACAGTATCTTTTATTTATTCCGAATCTTGCCGTATTTCATGTAAGGGACTGCAGAGAATTTGCGTGTTGAATATACGCTACACGTCAATACTGGACCGTGCTTAATGGTGCCAAGGGCATCAAGAGAGCATAGCAAATGCATATAGCTGATCCGATCTGTTTCATGGCTTGAACAAAGCGAGTAGTCAAATTCGGCTGCGTATGAGACATAGAGACAGTAGAGAGTTACAGAGCGTGAACCGACGACCGATTAGAGAAGGCCTTTGGACTTGAGAGTGATGTCTCTCATGCTAACCAATTGTGTTCCTGGTGGAAGACGCATGACTGTATTTATTAGCCAAATTTGGTTATGTGCGATGATTAATATTAATAAACAACCCATTGAAGTTCATGATTGCGATAATCGTGGCTGAGATATTGCAACAGATTCTTGAAACAAGTCGTCAGTGCATCGCAAAATCAGCAGGAAGCCATATCATGGCTTCAACATCGCCATGCACATTAGAAATGCTAATGTATAGTCCAAGGAGAGCCCGGAAGACCCGTCAGGCATCCACCTTCTCAAGTTTGTATCGACCTAAATTAAAATTATGAGTGTAGCTTTCCGACGCCAGATAAAGACCTCGTTCGTGATGTCGTAGGATGTCGTGCTTATGCGATTTGCATAAGAACTATGAGGAATTCGAATCACTTGAAGCATTGGGGTATCTAGCACTACTAGTCAGAACAAATCGTACATTTATATCGGAACGACGAGAAAAAAGTCGAATGTGGCCAGATACCTTTAAATGAGCTTCACGTAACGTCGTGGCCGAAGGGGCGGGGGCATACCGGCCGAGGCCTTCTATGTACCAACATGGCGACTCCTCCTGGTTACAGCAAATAGCCTGTGCAATAAAAGCCAAGGTACAAGGCCAATTTGACAGGGAAGGAATCATGGTTGGATGGGAAGTCATGTTTATGCCATCTGCCCTGTAAATGTAATATAGACCCGTTTGGCCAAGAAGGTCGTGTGACGTACCACGATAGTCTGGCAGGGAGGGGAATTGGGCAAAAACAGACCTGTAGACAATCCATTTCAGTGTCGTTTCGTATGACTGGACCAAAAGGCCTGGAAGGCTGAAGCCAGAAGCCAGGAGCGTAACACAAATGGTTTGCATGCATGTGATGGCTAGTAAGCGACAGTCAACAAGTGGTATGGTATGGTATTACCCGGTATGGTCCCTAAAAAGGTACCGCAATCCCGACCCTCACTTTATCAGTTTGTCAGACCTTGATCCAAGGATCAAGCATCCTTTTACTCCCTATGGCCATGTCCCCCAACCATTGGCATCCCAAAATTTCTTCTTCGATTCGCCCGACGGCACGCCAAGGGACGAACGTGACGGTGAAACTAGAAGCGCTTCTGATCACGAGCATCTCTAACCCCAGGACGCTACAGTGCGATATTTACGTTGACATCGTCGTCTTCTAGACTCCAATCGAGACGAAAGGGGCCGGTTGTGGGAGAAGGGGGGGTGGAAGCGACCCGGTTTGGTGTGTGCGCAATGTCGTAGTCTTTGACTGAGACAAAGTGTGTTCCATGCTAACACCCATCGTTTCTGCGCCGGTATCAGTGTCTTGCCCTTTCCACCCCCTGGCCTCTGAGCAGTGACGGAGCCAAAAAAACATTTTGTGGCCACTTTTTTTGGCCGGCTTTGGCTACTGTATATCCAGAACCGTACAACTTCTTTTAAGGTTGATCAGACATCGCCTGGCAGGTAAGACACATCATCCTGATCTCTGCTGTTCACACCCAGTGCTTGTCTCTTTAGTCAACCAGTCCTGCCAGGAACATGCATACCGGACTGCTTGTCGAACCAAAAAAAATTCTTCGGGATTTGTGGTACCGAGGCTCCGGTGGCTACCGCTGACAGCTCCTCTGCTCGGCCGGAAACGAAAGTTTCGTGTCCATTTCAAGACGCCTTTAGAAAACGATGAACGTTCAGATCAGAAGAACATCCCGTGCATCTTTAAGGCCCATGCGACTGCTGTCGTTCGTGGTGCCGTTCTGGCTCTCGTTTGTTGTTTTGTTGCTGGCTGAGGACAGGTCACTATTTCCACTATTTCCCTGTGGAGGCTAGGATACCTCATACGAAGGGAAAATATATCGGTCCCTCGATAGTTTTGATGGATATATCCCGAAGGAGAGTTGGCTTTCGTTGATGTCGTCGAGAGCGCTGGGTTTACGGCATCGCGTACAGACCAAATAAATTGGTGACCTCGTGCACGATAATGGCGTTTGAATGTGAACTTTGCTTTCCTGGTTCTGGTCTTCGAGAGTGGATCCGTCCCTTAGGTGGAAGGTGGAAGACGGTTAAACATTGCATTCAAATTTGCGTTGACAGCGAGGCGTTCCAGACCTCGTAGTTGAAATGCCTTTGCGGCTCTCGTTTACCCTACAAAGCTCGTCAATGGCCACGATAACCTCGCTGCCGTCCCTCGACCAGGATTAGTGATCCAAGGTTCGCCATCTGTCCGAGTATGCATGGTGTAATCGAGCTGTACTTGAATGGCTTCGAAACGTTCCGATGTGCCGAAATTCGCGTGGATCGCCCAATAGCTGATGAATTCGAACATTGAGACCTCGGAGATTGTTTGAGCTTGTGAGCATTATTTTCTTGGTCTTCAGCAAAGCAGAGTTGTTGCAAGACTAATCAGATTTCAAGGAAACTACCTCTTTTCGGTAATTTCCTGGTTAAGGGATCCTCAACGAGGGCATTGCCAAACGGGTCCATGCAAGCCATTCATTTGCGCCTAGTTCACAGCCATGGTCGATATTGGCAATCGCCAGTCACGGCGATCAAGCATAGCCCATCCGAGAGGGACATGGTTTGTGCGCCTGGACGTCGTAAGCTGCGGCGATAATCCGCGATATCGCCAGCACCGCGCATTGGAGCTTGTAGCCTGCTTGTTTTCCTTTCAGTGACACGGCACCCGCACACACTTTGCTTTTACCTCGACATGGATGCTCATGCCCGCGACGACACTAGCAATCTCGTGCAGCACTCCATCGGAACTGCGAACATAGCTCACACCATGACCACACCCGGCTATTACTGTGCCTACATGTCTAAACGCTCAGCTGCTGCGAAGACTCGAAACTATGGAAATTGCCTGCAATGTAAAGAGGCACGACAGAAGGCAAGGCGATTGACACTGTTGTCATTTTCAACGGAGCTAAAAGGTCTCTATTTGCAGTGTAATCGAGTGAACGGCTCTGCTTGCGAGCGATGCTTAAGGCTTAGGAAGAAATGCAGTCTGATTGGCACCGCCAGCCCTTCAAGCCCAACAACTCCCATGAGCCCAGTCGATCCACACCCTGAGGCAACTTTCGGAACTGTTAGTCCTCTTTCAACGCATTTTCTTTTCTGTGTAGATTGTTGATCTTCGATCATCGCCTGGATCTCTTTTTCAGAGGTATACAGATGCTATGCTACTCTTTCTGTCCATATTTCCCCTGACGATTGCTTCTATCACCGTGATGTGTAGATCCCTCTCTCAAGAAGATGAAGAGCGTTTTGGCAGAGTTCTCTATATAATTCCACTAAGCGATGGAACGGGGTTCGACGTTATCCATGCGATGGTCGGTGGCAACGGACATGAGCAGGCTTATCAGACCGGGTGCGACAAGGCCCTTATGCCACGAGCTCTTCCCGACTATTTAGGACCTCTTGTGAGTTTTTCTTCAGATACAAACACGGCGTGAAATCTTAAAACTATATGATCACTTCTCAAATTGCATTAGTCTGAGTTCATGCATAGATTTTCCAGCTGTACAACATACGTGGATCTTCCAGCTTTGTTAGATGCAGCGGATGCAGTGAAAACACTGTAGACGAACAACGAATGTCGTTTGGAATCAGATTTGGAACACGTTATCGTAAATGTTTGTGCCGTTATGATTGCAGTTGATTTGCTGTCGTTGCCTGCGGATGTTTCTAATAGTCGTTCCTCGCTATCCCTTCGTAAGAGAGAAAGGGGAAAATTTGGTTGTAAATATGTAATTTGTTTCATCTGATGCTGGCTGCTCTTGGAGCGCAGACAAGGTGTGTTTGTCGGCTGGTGTGGAGCCGGAGCTTTGACACCCCAAACGGAAGTAATGCTTTCCGCCCATCACTGTAATTGGTGTTATATAGTCACAATCTGAAATCTGTTGACAGTAAAGGTCTACTCAGGCCCAAGTCTCACTTATCAGTACAGACAGGTGAACACAGGTCCATATGGGCACAGCAGCCTATAACTTTGTACGAATAATAAGTAACTTATTTATCTTTGCAGCCCATAACTCACGTGCCGTACTTGATATTTATGATGGGGTCCTTGAATTTGCCTATCACTATAATAACATCATATTACACTTATCTATTCATTTGCAAGAATAGAATAAATGTTATGTTGTGGGTTTGTATTAATGTGCAAATAGTCTATCCACAGACGTAAGTGAGCCTGACTTGGGAAAAACTCTCGGAAGTAATAATGAATGCATGGGAATCAAAATGCCATCATGCAGTCATCACGAAAAAGTCTTAAGTATTGTATTCACTTGTAATCCTATACATTTTGTACCTTTTATAAAATTTGTCAATGTTAATATAATCTTCATAGGGGGTTAAGCAATGATAGTACAATGTTAAATAAGTAAACAAGAATACTTTTAAAACTTGGCAATTACAATTATAATTGTGTAAATTGTCAAGTTATACAAGTGATTATAATATACTTCCTAAGATTACAAGGTTAAGACATACTTATTAATTTGTGACAGTATAATATCTACTTATAATGCTTATAAGCTATTACAAGCATTTGAATCACTTCCTTTTGCTTTGGATACAATTTTTTATCAAATAATTATTTAATTATTTAATACAAAATAATAAATGATACATTATTTCTACAGTCCTGACCCCTACACCACTAGCAGCCTCTGCCTTGTTCTTTCATGAGCAGAATTCGTGTCAGAAAAGGATGAACGCATCCTTGGGCTGTTTGATGTAGTCTTCATCACCACGTTTGGTTGTCACTCGGGACCTGTGAGTCAAATTGCGTGTGTGTGTGGGTTGAGGTTGAGTGGGTTGTGGAGGTTGAGGCTGCACCTGTTAGACAGGTTTAGAGTAGTTAGTAAGTATCAATAGGAGAGAAAAGGTGGACGTACTGCGACGGCGTGCAGCGAGTGTGAGTGGTGCATGCAGGTTGAGATCCGGAGCGTTGAACGAGTTGATTCAGGCTGCAGACAAAGCCGTATCAGTACGCATATGCTACATATTCTGACTGTAACGTGCAATTGGAGGAGCAGTGAACTGAGTCATTATTGTGGATTGATCTCTGGGACGTACCGGCTCGAACAGAGAAGGCAAAGTGGAATGTATTGACGGACTCCGCTCAGGAGTGGTAAGTGGCAGTCCACTGCTTCTGTTCGATATGATGTTGTCCGCTGCACTAAGGAATGTAAATGCACGTGGGGTGGACCTGTCGAGAGTGGCGTTAAGCATGGAATGGGTGGGGAAGGAGAGCGTGTACAGCGTCAAAGAGAGGGTCGTACCATGGGAGTGGTCATACGTTGGTATTGTCGCGAGCGCGCGCTTGTCGACTGTTACTTGCACTACAGAGCGGGAAGTACGCAAATGTATGGAAATATTGAGGAAGTCGTTCAGCATTGGTCAACAACGCGGATGCGCGAATGCGAATGCAAAAAGGAAGGCGAGTGTAAACAGAGGAGGACAACGAAGGAGAGGCAACGCAAGCGGCGGAGCGAGGAGCGAGGAGCGGGAGGGATGGAAGGGAGACAAAAAGTTGGGAGGAGAGGGGTGAGTAACCATTGTGCGAGTTATTATGAAGTGGACTGGCTGCTTACGCTTTACGATGAAGGACAGTGTAGCCAGCTCAGTCGTGTCGTCACAGGATCTGAGGCTCAGCACGGGCATTGCAGTGGCAGATTAGAGAGACAAATACAGTGATGTTTATTGTCTGGGTGATTGCAGGCAGTGTGCCTGCTGGAGGATGCTTGTAGGCAGAGGACTGGGCTAGAGAGAACAAGAGCGACGACATAGCGTTGGGGGAAGAGGGTTGGGGAGATGGTGGAGGTAGGAGGAAAAGGAGTGACGAGAGCAAGTGCGTCATTATATGCACTCGATCTTCGGTACTCGATTATGTAATCAATTCGATATATTGTTTAAAAGTAAAACCAAATTATTTTATAAGTCTGACAGAGTGATTGTTATCAATATTAATATATATAATTGCATATTATCTTACTAGAAGTTATTGTAATTAACTTACAAGTACAATGTATTACTTTTATGACTATTATAATCAATCAACTATTGTTACAAATAACTTATAATATAATTTTAGCAGATTATAATAAGAGTTAAGTGGTATCTCACATGTAATGTTGTAATAATACTATTAGTAAGCTTACTTGCTCTAAAACATGTTTGTAGTTTAATAGAAACTTTGTATATTTCTTACATTTATATACAATCATTATAATTACATTACAAGTAAAATATAAGTATTATTTTAGAATGTAATACTTATGAAATCATTTTATTAGATTACTTTTGCTATTATTAAATACATTTGTTGCGACTTTTTCGTGATGGTAGCACAGCATTTCTGATGTACTGTCAAAACAATTGGATTCACTTTCTTTCGACGTCTGTAACCTTACCATGGACCAGTTTCGTTTACCACCATTACCAGTGGTGCTGGAGGAAGGACGCGCAAGTGTAGAAGACCCCTCGGGCAAGCAAATAAATCATTTCAACCATTTGACCCTTCTTACAGAACAACTGTGTCTCTATAGGTTGCAATTTAGTACTGAACGCCTATAGAGCGTTCACACCTTGGCGTCATGTCCTTCTTCCACTTATCAGCGTCATTCTCTCTAAAATATATTGCTGCTCGGAAGAGTTGGGACGCAGCTGCAGACGCACTCGACTTAGCAACTAGGTTGAGCATTCTCGCGTGAGCAAAAGGAATATAGCTCCTAAAAGAGGAATAGCATTAACAAAGCACTGGCGCATATATTATAAACCTCAAATCAAAATCCAAAATGATCCCATTGTACGCCTTCGAGGCACTGCTAATTTTGGCATCTCGCTCTCGTTGTCGGCACTGCCATCCAGGACATACCACAGATATCAACACTCACGATAGTTCGGATGAACCAAGTACAACTGGGTCGCAGAATGGATCCAGTCCCACAGAAGATGCAATAGCAGGTCAAAGAATTGCTCGGCGGACTCCAAGATCATGCGACCCTTGCAGGACACGCAAATTGAAGGTAAGAAGACGTATCATGTTCTATTTCCCTCGTAACTAACGTCACCGTATAAGTGCGTCCGACCGCTGACGAAGCCCTTTGCACCATGCGAACGGTGCGCCAAAGCCGGTGCTATCTGTACGATGGTTCGTTCACTAGATTCTGTGCTTTGGCTTTGAAACGAGTAGGCCTACTTTCTAGCAGAGACCGATCAAAGCTGACTAAGTAGCTAAGTGCTAAGTCGGTCTACTACTGTGGACGTTGAGTGTAAACTCACATTAGCTGCTCCATATAGACATCTAATGTAAACGTTACGTTCAGTTTGGCACTGGTATCGAGACAACAGCTTGTATTCGCGGTATCTCTCGTAGATCTCGAACATTGTTCGATTTCATGCCAGACGCTGTGTACACTTCTTGAGGTTAAGTATATGTCATGTATTAATATTAAAAGCGTGCTGTATTGTGTAAAATGTATCAGAAAGAGAAAGGCAGTGAACGGATCAGCACCACGTACAATTGTAGCACTCCTTGAGTGCAACTCTCTTTCGAGCGTCACAAGAATAAGACGAGCAAGTATACTTGACAATGGGTGAGCGAGTGGCATCTGAACAGTTGGACGTAAGAAGTGACATGGGAAAACAATCACCACTTATGACATTTTCTCTGCAATGCAAGCTGACCATCCGTATGAATACCAATCAGAGATTCCAGGACTGCATGATTCCGGAGGGAACCAGGTTTTGCAATTCAGGATCACCGAAAACGAGGCCTCATCGAGTATTGAGCACATTCAAGTTTGGTCTGTGTTCCTGTCTTTCACATGTGGAAGACCATGATTATGACCATCTGCGATGCGATGTTCAATCAGATTGTTGTAGCAAATGGATACTGTTTATAGAGTCAACGTGTCCTAATGACACAATACAATCCCCCACCGTCGCCGTGTCCACAGTTTTTCAAAAAGGCCCTTCTGGCACAAAGTTCCACGATCGTTGTCCTTGACCCGAAAGAAATTGATTTCCATGGTTCAGGCTTCCATCCCTTTCCTCTCGCATGCGGTGTCATTCGGTGTTGTTGGTGGTTTGACATAGGGCGATAGCCTTGCCCTAAGAGCCATGTAAGTACCCGCTTTCACAAAATAGCATGTAGGTACATAGGCGATATCCATGGCTGGCAAGGGCCTGTGTATAGGCAACAATTCGAATGCGGTAAACCAGCTCCAATCCCGTTGTAGTTAACGATCGAGACTCAAGGACGGCTAGAGTTTTGAGTCTTTTGACCTGCCAATATTTGTTCGGGTACAGCATGTTGCCAGTACCTGGTTGGCCGACTTGTAAGATTGATTTGACAAGGACTGAATCGAGCGGGGAGCTTGTCTGCTGTCCTAGAATTAACTTCAACTAAGGCAAGTAAGTGGGGCGCTTCTCGTTGTTCCTTACACGATTTGGGTGGACAGGAAATTTTGAAGAAAATAAACTTACATAATTATGAGAACGGAAACTACTCCTGCGCGACCACATTTAGCGGAATAGGTAAGAAAAGTCGGACTCGGAAACATCGAGACAAGGGCAAAAAAAGAGTCATGATGTAAGCACCAAGCCACGGAGTTGTAATTTGTGCGGTCCTGGGTTCGCTTGAACAAGCGCTCTTCCCACACTCTCTTGCTCTTGTACATCTACGTCGACCTAACCATTTCCACAAAGTCGTGTCACCAGCACGCTTGCGTGTTCATAGGCGCATCGAGAGTTACTTCGAAGGATGAGGATGCGGGCACTCGACTACAGGAGGATAGGTAAAGAGATTCTATGGCCGTACGACGACACGGTATCATTGATCATCAAGGCATTCTTATTGCTGGCGAAAGGAGACTTCTGAATATGGAATGAAAAGCTTAGAGAGTTGTCAATGTCAATGGATGTCACTTGTTGGTGTGTACCGCCTACTGTGTAGGTCATGGAGGGACGTGGCATCGCCCCTCAGTCGTCGCCAAGGACTGCCTTTCTTTGTTCCATCAGTCGAAACTTATCAAGCATGCCGTACCAGTTTTCATTGCTATCAATTTCGGCAGGAAAACTTCCTCGAGTGGATGAATTTCTTATGAACCCTGTAGTTTAGGTGAGCCACGTCATCTTATCCCACTTACAGAGAGACACTCACTTCCACTAAATACCTCTGCAGTCTTGTCTTTTAGAATAATGGGAAGATGCAAAGATGTTCACCAGATGCATTCGTAACTGAAGAAAAAAAGCCCGGTAGTTCGTTTCGCCGATGTGGTACACCCGAAGGGTGCTCTTCCTCTCTCGATCCGAAGGCAAAATTTACTTCTATACGTCCGCCTCATTGAAGATGTCCTTCCGTATTACTACTGACCGTGAATTGCTGCGTTTCTTCCATCCGGAACATTATGTGTCTGGGTTCTTCTCCAAAAATGACTGTTGACGGTTGGCGATTCCGCGCATAAGTTCTAAGGGCTGAGACGACTGGTGCTGAGAGAGTCGTCCATCAATTGTCAATCTATGCAGATCTATAAAATTGAACAAGATTGCGGGTGAAGAGATCCAAAGCGCTGAACATTGCGGTGCGGTATTATACCTGCTAGATGCCGTACTGAATAAATTACTGGTCCCGTGCATGATAGTGGCGTTGACTTGGAATGTGACTTTTGCTCTTCTGGTTCCTAAACTTCGAGGTCCTTGTTCCATGGGATGGGAAGTCGCTTGACCATTGATTTTTTTTCAAATTTAGCGACAGCGAAGCATTACGACAAGTTCCAGATTGCACAATTGAATTGCTTCTATCGGTTCTCGTTATCCTATAAAGCTCGTTAATGGCCACGATAGCCTCGACTGTCCTCTTTGTCCGCCACCAACGATGCTAGAAAGGCCTTCCCGAATCTCATGGGTCCTGGAAATATATGTTTAAGCGACGCGAATGCTTCTTTGTATATCTCTGGTCTTGATGGATTTGCCTATCAGTGACGGCTCCTCGTCGATCGCTTGGGCAATTGCTGCTAATCTGTTGGTGACTCGGATGTTTGCTGACACCCGTTGGTGAAGCCAAGTTGTTGGTGAGCGTTGTCCATTTCTTTATAGGCAACTTCCGACGTTGTCCTCATCTAGGATACTACCAAATGTTGTAGTGCAAGCCGCCCGGCTTACTGCGGCAGACCCTTGTTGAATACCGCGGCGATCAGGCGGCGTTGCTCGCCCAGCAGCCGACACATTCGTAAGAAGTACTATTGCGCCTGAAGGTCGTTGAATCTCGGCGATAATATAGCTTATCGGCTACAACGTGCATTGGAGCTTCTGACCACTGCGTCACACCACATTCCTCCACTTAAAGTCAGGATGAATGCTCCTACCTACTGTTACTATCAATCACCATCAGCGCCTCCTCTAACTGCAAACCCACCTCACTCCATGGCCGTCCCGGACATTTACTGTGCCTACACGACTAAACGCTCAGCTGCCGCGAGAAATCGGAACTATGGGAACTGTTTGCAATGCAAGGAGGCGAGGCAGAAGGCAAAAGGCGATTTTTAAAATATCAGTTGGAGCGCTAACCGTATTCCTTGTTCATATAGTGTAACAGCGCAGATGGTCTGGCCTGCGAGCGCTGTGTAAAGTTGAAGAAAGATTGCAGCCTACTGGACCCAACGAGTCCGATTCGTCCACGTTCCGCGGTGAACTCAGGGCGGGTTAATTGCTCCCGTTATTTGCTGCTTCCTACTACTCACATGTCTTTATTCCAGCCACAGACGTCTGCCCAGAGGTATAGATCCGTTTGTCCATCTATTCTCCTCATCCTTCTCTGACGATCGCGTTCGATTTTCATGATAAGCAGGACTCTCGCAGAGGAGGACGAAGAACGTTTCGGTCGAGTAATCTACATTTGTCGGTCTAGTGATGGAGCCTATTTCGAGGTAATCCATGCAATGGCCGGTAACAACGGCTTTGAACAAGCGTATCGTACGAAGTGCGACGGTGACCTCAAGCCGCTAGCTCTTCCAGACTACCTGGGCCCTCTTGTGAGTCATTTCTTCACATTCGGGCTAACGCAGCTTCTTCGCACTTATGCACTGACCGGATGGGCATATAGTCTGAATTCATGGAGAGGTTTACACGTTCTATGACGTCTTTTGATTTTGATTGTCTGTAATGCATCATTGTATGAGCATTGCTTGTTAATTGGAGGATGCAAAGGATTGAGTCTATCATTGGATATATGATCTCCGTCTTGCGTTTCTTTGCCCTGTGTTGCTTGTTGTCTTGTATTTCACACGTCGCCCCAGTTGATCTGTATAACAACCGATCCATTCGCTGCCCTTTGAAAGGTTATTGGCTTACCTGTACAATAGTAGTTTGTTTGTGTTTTATAGTACGATGAAACCCTGTGCAACGAGGAACAGACGTGTATCTAATGACAAAGGATCCCTATCGGCCGGAGCTTTGTCTCCCAAAATAGTGTTTACCACCTTCACGGATCATTATGTTACATGCGATCACTTCTTAGCACGTTCTTTGATGATCCTGTGCAATCTTTCTGTAATACAAGGAGAGTCTAAGGAAACAAAGTACAGTTTAGTCACATTTTGTACTGTATGGTAACAGGAGTAGCCTCTTGTAACTTCTCAAGACTATGTACAATCTTTTACATGAGACTTACAGTACATATAAAAGGTAGTTAAATAATCAGAATCTTGACTTTGTACTTTGCTCCTATACTCAATCATTCTAACTCTATATATATACTTGGCATGTCTCCTAGGTAAAGTCCTGTGCTTACACTTTTTTAATACAGATAATAATATAAGATAAGAAAGGTTAATCTAAGTACATAAAGCTAAGTACAAAGATAATGTCTTACTAAGTAGCTACCAATAATTAGACAGGAGTTATTGTTAAACATACAAATGTGTTATTTTACAGAATTGATAAATTTCTGTCCAAATAATTTAACTGTAACAATAGTATTAAACTTGATAAAGATAACATTCTACACATTATTTGAACTTTAAATTAGGTAGTTATAAACTACTCAAATATTGTTCTTGTCAATGTGTATTAAATACTAGAAATTATACTTAATAATTATTAATATAATAATTAGAATTTTTTTAAATGTAACAGTAAATACATTAGTTAACATTTTTGCATACTAAACAGAATATTAAGACCTGATTTCTTATTCTATCTACTATATTTACAAAATTGAAATAATACAAATTGTTAGAGTTTTATTTGACAGGAGTAAGTAAAAAATAAATGTTATATATGCAAAACTTTGAGAATTTAAAGAAAACTATTATAATTTTAATAAAAATTAGTAAATAAAATATAAAATATTTAAGTATATTAATAAAGGTTTACTAATATTAGAATGTTTCTTCTCAAAACAACTAATTATTTATATAAGCTTACTAAATTAATGTGTATAAATTATGTATTACTAATATTATTATACAAATATATAATTTGGAATACCTTTAATAAGGAATATAAATATACCAACATATAGCTTATTTGTAGAATGAGTAGCATGTAAGTTTTACTTATACACAAAAGCTAAGCTAACACTTAGCTTCTTTTATAGTGTTTCTAAAGACTCTGTCTTTTAATCAGTTATTAACTCAATAATACTATATTAACTAATAGGAGTATCTTTTTAACATTTACTTACTCCTTACATTATACTTTAAAAGTGTACTACTAGTACTTACATTCTAAGGATTTGCTTATACTCATATACAAAAGAATACTATACTCTAGTAAACATGAAAATGTACCTTTCTTAAACTGTCTTTCTTAGTCCTCTGTATAAAATGTGACTAATTGTGTTATTAAAAACTATCTTGTTACAAGTTATATTAATTTAGTAGTAACAGTTTCTTATTTATAACAATACATATATATACTAGTATAGAGACAAAACTAAGTAAACAATTACTTGTCAATTTTGTAAGAACTGTTATTATAAGGTAAACATTTATTATATATATATTTCTTTTATAACTAATAGTAAATATTATTAGTGTGTTAAGTTATAGACTGAACTACTTGTTCTGTACAAAGCATTGTTTGACTCATTATCTCAAATGTATAACTGTAAGTTTACAAGACTTTTAAAGTATTGTATATTTCTTACAAAATTATTCTATTTAATACTATGTATTATATATTAAAAAACAAAATAAGAAAATACACAACTATTATATTAGATTCATTTAGTATAAATTTTTCAGCACTTAAGTATACTAGAGAGTAGACTGATACTCTATTTTATACTCTATTTTGTCTAGGACAACTTACTTTATAGTCTTAAATAAATAGTTTAATTACTAACAAAACAAATTAAAAAAACTCTTAAAGCTATATACAAATAATTGTAATAACTAGTAAACTTATGAGCCTGTATAACAGGAGGATTATAATAATAGCAGAAATATATAGTCTTAAACACTACTAGTAACAGTAGTTTTTACCTCTTAGATACATATATAACAATATTTAGATTCTAGAATAAAGTGAATACTATTAAGGTTATAGTATACTGTATACAGTATGTGTGTAATTTTATGTATTAATAACAGTTTACAGTTGTAAAATTATAACTGTAATTTTCATTCTTAGGATGAATTACAGTTATAGTTGTACTATATATAGTATATATAGTATTATACTTGTAATAATATAATATTAAAATTTCTTCTAATAAATATTAGTATACTATCTTTATTTTACTTGTATTATGTTCTCAGTATTATAAAGATGTTAGTTCTATAGTAAGATTATTTGAAACTAGCTCAAACTACTTATAAGGACTATTGATCAAAACTTAGCATTATATAATATAATCAAATAAATATTATAAATTAGTAAATATATACGAAATAGGTGATATTTATGTCAGCTTACTTGTAAAAGTGTCTTGTGAATATGCTAGAAAATATACAGTACAGCAACACACAGAATGTTAGGGAGGCAGGGGAGAAAGAAAGAAGCACGACACGTTATTTGTCATATGATGTGCGTCAGTGATCGACAGATCGACGGATAATGGGTATGCGTGCGTTTATGCAAAGTGCTACAGCGTGCTTATTATTGATACATTAATTATGCTTTGTATAAAGCGCGGACTAGATTAGGCAACTTTTAATGTTGCCTGCATTTCGAGGCCTTTACACAGCTCACTAGGGCCAGCAATTGCTCATACTAGCACATTCATTAAGTTCTTCTGATGGGAAATACGCAATGTTATTCAGTTCGGTGTGTTTAGGCCACCTTCTGCCTTTCTAAATGGTCGTTGCCTTTGTCCCAGAGCCACGTTTCCGAACCCACGCTTTCCAAGGCCAGCCAACTCATAGGACCACACAGTAATATAGGTATATAATGCTTAGAATTCCTCTCGAATCCACAAAGGAAGATTAGCCGCCTTGTATACTTCACCAGTCGAGTATTTCTTTAATGAGTTCAGACACTGTGAGTTTCATGCAACAGATTGACGCTTATTTCGTATCCACGTACTAATCGATTGACATACTTAAATAAAGGCCGCTTCCGATAAGAAAAGGTAAACAAGCCAGATCAGATTAGCGTCGTCCATTCGATTAAATGGAATCTTTTTTAGTAGTATCGCTGAACGGGATGCAGAGCTTTTTGGCCAGGTTCTGTATGCCCTGCCGAGCAGCAATGGAAAGGGACTACATGTAGTCCATGCTAACGTGGAATTTGATGGCGATGAGCATGTCTATAAGACCGATTGTAACGATAATTTTGAACCGCAAGGCATACCTGTGTATTTAGGCAAAAAGGTTAGTCAATTTTGTCGGACTAGGAATACGGAGGCGAGAACTTTGACGAACTGCTCACTACATATGCGATTAGGCTGAATATCTAGAAAAGCTCGAGAAATCGATGTCTTCTATTACCATAGAGGATTTAATCCGCGAGAAGGATCAACTTGGTAATGGTAATCAAGCAATGAAGTAACCTCGTTTTAGAGTGGAGGTTCTAATCCATCCACGCGTTTTCCCACGATTATAATTCAATCCACACATTGTATTACGTAATTCATGAAGACATTTTTGTTGCTATCAGTTTGACCAACCAACACGACGGATCTTAAATTCCGACTATCATCTGCCCTTAGCTCGAGAACATGGGACCGTCACGCACATCAACAGTGAAACTTCAGAATGTGAATGCACGCTCAGGGGTACATGAGTCATCCCGGAGACATGGCTCGAATACTAGGCGAAAAGCTGATGCGCATGTAAATGACGCATCGGCAAGTGACATTCCTGGCGTGCAAAAACTAAAATCTGCATTACGACAGGCACGCCGATTACTCGCAAGGGTACGTTGGCGTGATTGCTTGTCTTCTGCTGTGCAAGGAAAAATATAAATCACTTATTGCGGCGAATCCATTTTCTAGGACAACCTCGCGGCGGATGTACGCGTCAAGACGGAACGGCGGTTGAAATCTCTCCAATTAGATCTGGAAACTGCCGAGCGAAGAAGAAAAGAACGTACACTGGCCAAGCGGTACCACAAGGTCAAGTTCTTTGGTGCGTTGCCATCTCGATCTACCGCTCCTTTGATCGTTCTCGCAGCATTGTGACAACCTTTAGAACGCCAGAAGGTGCTGCGCAGGATCAAGAAGGTGAAGAAGCAATTGGAACTGGAAGACTCGCCGCTTTCGAAAGAGGCGGTAACGAAGCTCGAGAACACGCTCTTTGAATTTCGCGCTCAGCTCAATTATATTTTGGTACGTTACCATGTTCATTGCAATGGGACCCTTTCTGCATAGTAAACCGATGCGTCACGCGCTCCTAGAATTATCCCAAGCTCGAGAAATACATTTCATTGTTCCCGCCATCTAAGGAAGAAACCGAGAAAAATCCAGATCTCAGCGAAGCCTTTCAGACACCGCAAAGCGAGACGGACGAGCGCAGGGAAGACCTCTTGCGCATTATCAAGCAAAAGATGGCGATGGGCGAGCTGAGCGATGAACCGGAACTTGATGTAGAAGGTACTACGGCTTCTGCCTCGGCGACGTTGTCACATATGGCATTGGGAACACCGGTGAAGAGCGGAGCGCCTGCTCAAAAAGGGAAGAAAGGCCGTCCAGAGATGTCAAAATCCGAGGACAACGTGCCAAGGGAAACAGACCGTGTGGCAGACGATAACTTCTTCGAAATAGATACACATGCAGAATCGGGGTCAGAATCAGTCTGGGACTAAACCGACTCTGGTTCTAAAAGATAGTGGCGTTTTGCTAGGACGCGCTACCTAAAGGCACTGCGAACCCTAATATAGCAGAAGTGACGCTGCCTGCCGGGTGCACGGTTAGTCGTGTATCGATCCTCCACCCCGGTCCTGCTCCACACAATAAACAACAGCATGTCCTGTCATTTATTTCCTATCGAACGTTCGACGCCGGAGAGACCGTCGAAGGCGATGTTTATTAGTGTCTGGGCTATGTAGGCGATGTGCTCCTGTTTACATCGTGATTCCCGCATCCTCGCAAAGGGAGGCTGTCATCAGTCGGACCGGTGAATATTATAATACATTCGATTTTCTTTTCGTTGTATCCATACAGTCAATGTATCCTAAGAAGACGCAAAGATGTGCGATTGGAAGGGTATAATCATTATGGTCATAAGGAATGAGAGTGTATGTACTTGAGCTGCAACTAGTCCAAAACTTGGAAGTAAGAGAAAATAGGAGATGTAAAGTCCTCCGCCAAAGCTTACCAGATTTATTGATAAATGAACAGAAGTCTTGAACGAAAATTAGAGTGGGGATTTGATTGTGTGAACGAGATCAATTCCGGAAAGCAATTCGAAAACGAACCAAAACAGTATGTAAATTGAATTCATGTATTAAGCGCGAAATTTAATGCACAAGAAAAGCGAAACGAAGTAGGAATCAGAGTGAGAGTGGGAATGGATGGAGATGTTCCAACAAAAAGCAAAAAAGGGGGAGAGTCACTAGCACACAAAGAACAGAGAACGGAAAACGAAACCATTCAAGGAGCGGCGTATTCGGAGTAGACAAAAAATTGAATCAAGGAGTGTAGGGACCCGAGCACCAAATAAATATAGCCTGAAGGGAAATTTGATCGTAAATTTCTTACAGTTGCCCGCGAACAATGCTATGTGCTTTAGAAATGTTGGTCTGGGGAAGTACCCGTAACGTGAATATGCGGAGATAAAGCGTACGAGGACGCGTCGCTCGCTGGTGTCAGGTACTGATCACTAAAATTAGTGGATGTTGTCTGTGATTCATGACTACATGTTAGCAAATGTCTTGCAATGAAAAATTTATGCGTACCGATGGTGGGAAGGCAGAATCTGGCTCCCTGAACTGGGAAAGCCCGTGAGTCTGCAACGGCAGGACTAAATGGCGCGGACATTGGCTTTGCCATGTACAATGATTAGTCAGTAACCCGCTGTCATTCACCAGGCTATTTGGGTAAGAGATTCGGATTATTCAAGTGGTTGACTGTGCGGGTGCTTACCTCTGTTGAGACATTGGAGTAGAAGTCTGGAGACGAGAGAAGCTGTACACCTCAGCCTTGGATTCGGTGGAAATCGGGATACCCATATCCGGTGCTGCGGGAACACGCAGTGGTGCACTTGTTATACCAAACAAGTGGCTTCCAAACTCATCCAGCGAGCGGGGTTGGTTGTGCGCGTCCTGGGTAGCCTGTATTGGCTGAGATGCGCCTCGCATAGGCACGATCAGGTGCAAGTTGGAACATATGCGGCAACGACGGAAGCTGACCACTTCGTCGTAGTCATGAGTACATTCGGGAGTTTGCCCTAGGAATGGGGACATATTCGTACCCATAGTCAGTGAACTAACTGGTGTTCCCTGATTCCAAGGTCCGTTTGCAGACAACGCCGGATTGATTGAAAGATGTCCACGTGGATCACTGATAGTGGCAGGAATCGCGAGTGGACCCTGCCAATCACCAAAAGCTCCTTGATTCGCAGGGATACGCTGGGATAGAGTCGAAATTGCAATGTTGTTGGATGTATAGCTGTGGGCCCCGTGATTCGAATTATATTCAGACGGTTGATGAGGCAATGTGATACCAAGCCGACTCTCGTCTGTGAGAAACTCGGAGAACTCGGGATCCGTCAATTGGCCGCCTGGTATGGAAGACATATGATGTGGGCGAGGAGCATGGCCTTGTGTGGAATGGCTGCTGCAAGGACCGTAGCTGTCTAGAGAGCCAGTAACATTGGTATGTAACGAGAGATCTTCTGAATCAATGGCAAATTCTGCATGTTGCTCATATTGAAAGGTGCTAAATGGCGTTGAATACATGTCAGAGACTATTGAAACGGCACACCGGGGAGAACATACTTCTCAAAAGCGCTTCCAGCTCGAATCGGTATGTCTGACCCTGCCGCGCTGGGTTCCCGATTGTTCGAGCTGACAATGTTGATCTGATACAATGCGTCCGAAGCATGTGGCAGAGGATCAGCAGTGATTCGCTGCGGGGATTTCGGCTGACGAGACTTCCGTCGCCCTTGACTTGTCTCGCCGTTTTTGCTAATACAAGGAAAGGTAATGAGCAAACTTGAAGGGATGGACAAGCCCTTCCGCTTTGGTTGTTTCACATCCTTGAGCTATTTACTCGATTAGAACGAAACATGGATAAAAGACGAATCATACAAAGCTTACCTGGCCGTTAGTAAGCTTCATCTTGTTGTAGGAACCCTGCTGAACAGTGTCAGTTACTTAACAATTGTAGCGTGGGTCACGGTCTTCGACAAAGAAACTAGCGGCCACAAGTTTGCAGAGAAAACACAGAAAGGGACTCTTAGAACAAAGAGAACTTACTGAAGGATTAGATGCTGGCTTTGCTGAGGCGTCCCTGCTCGACTGTGTATTGGAAGGGCGATCTTGGCGGCCCATCCACCCGGAGTCTCGATTGACAGCTGGTCACACTGGGGCTGTTGTAGTGGTGCTTTTGAGCTGGGTAGATTAGTATCTGTGTTCAAGCGTGAACAGCTGACGACCCTGGTCAAAGACAGAAGTGGAGGAAAAACAAGGAGCAACCAACAATTCACTTTTATGTACGTCCAGAAGGCCAGTTATGTGGGTCCAACCGCTGCGGAGACTGGAAAGGAAGTCGTATGCAAAAGGATATGAACAAACTTGGGGAAGGACGGGTCGCTTAAGCTGACTCGGTACATTGTATAGGTTGTGATGCATCGCTTGTCAGTGCAAGCCATCGGTCGGCGAGGGAAAGCACAGCATTAACGGAAGGGAAAGGCGAAAATTCGAATTTTAGTTATCCGTATCTTAAAATATGGTCAGTGATCAGGTGAATCCATTTACCGCGATTATGGCATGCACAGACCTACCGATCAACCAATGGACCCTACTGGATTTATTCCAACGGGAATGATGATATTTGTCACTCCGAATAATCAGAAATGCAGGACGTCGACTTGACGGGTCCCGTCGGAGGGCAGCTCGTTGTCCTTAGGAGGGATACGGGAAAGAAGCTCGTGATTGGACGAACCAATACTAGCCAACACAGAACCGTCGGATTGTCTCGCATACCGATATTTCGGAAGTATGTGGATAGGGGACGGAGGCAGGCCAAGGGAATGGGACGAATCCTCAAAAGACGATCTTCCACAAGAGATAACGATGCACTACGGTGTGCGCCTTGTTTCGTTTCCAAGTATTGCCGAATTCATATCTTCGGCGACATGCTGAGTTCCGCAAGATATCTAGAGGAGACGAGGGCTGCAGGCTCGAATTTCATGCCGGTTTGGTGGAAGACAGAGGAGGGGAGGAACCTGTGTAAGGAGAGATGCATAAGAGAGAGACTCGAGCTACCCCTCGATGTCGAGCGTTGATCGTAGTCAAGGCATCCGGGGTACCTATCAGGTGTTTGAAGATGCTGATTTATTGCACCGGAGGGCAATAATGGAGACATAAGAGTTACGAGCCCTGGAGTACGTCGGTATCATAGCCACCTTGCAGGACGGGAATGATAAACCAGTTCGACAAAAGGTGGAGTGGACAGCACTGTCCCGGTGGAGTTGAGCCCCGTGCGCATTTTGAGTGAAAACAGGGACTTCCTCGCGGTTGACAGCTTCAATGGTGCGTAGAAGAGATTCTTGTGGGTGCATGTGAACGTTTGTGTAGCGATCGTGCTTCTAGTCAGGTCAGGGCAGCAATTAGGCGCCTTGCCTCGAGGACAACGTGCGTGTCACAAAGGTTTCAGATTATCCATCGCACTTAAAATTCATTAAAAGTACCATATATCAGACCTCGAGAATGATGTCTAGCTAGGTGCTGGTGCCCAACAAGTCCAAGTTTGAGAGGTCCTGCTTTGTTTGGTCGGAAAATTTAGTCGATCACGCGCTCGACATAAAAGGAATGATTGCCCTTAACAAAAAGAATTCGTTCCAAATAAATTGGAAGCAATCTTAATAAATGTCAAGTTTGTAGCAGGAAGGAGATATTTATGCCATATGTGTAGTGCTCCGCGCGTAGCGTATACGCTTACGCGCGTAAAATTTCCCACGTATACACATACGTGCATAAAATTTCCCACATATACACATACGCACGTATAATTACGGGCGTAAACTGGGTCAGCAGGACCCATATACAATACACTACTTCTGTATACAGTGTATACAGCATATACACTGTGCCAAATATAACAAGATACTTTACATTAAAATAGCTCATAAAAGTACACTATCATCTTTCAAAACAAATGCTTGATATTATCATATTACTGAGCTAAGAAAATGTATTGTAGTACTGTTTACACACAGAAATAAGACAGTTGATTCTGAGTTGAGTGTTGTGAGTTAATATCACGTGACAGCTCTAAACCTTCATGTGATGTACTGTA